CGAGTCAACTTGCACGCACCTCGACTAATCTCACGGGACCCTAATGTTTACGATCGGGTATTCACCTCGACGACCCTGAGGTACACGACCTTTATGTTTTACAATAACTCAATTTCAATTTTGGCTTCTTATAATAACTTGTTTTCACCTCCTAACTTCTCACAAACTAGACCGAACCATCAGATTCGTCTATAAGTTATATTATTACTTTTTTCTTCAACATAGCACTCAATAATAGTCGACAAAGAAATTTCCTTCCAGATTAACAATTATATAAAACCAATCAAAAATACAATACCTCTCCAGGTACTCTTAAGCAAAATACTGGAGGCTAACATGCAGTAGAAGAAAACTTGGTTTTCTGTTTGTCATAAAGCTGAAAATAGAAACACGCTCAACAGCACAAGGCAGAATCTTCACACATTATATCGACTACCTTTGGCGTCTTCTCGAGTCCTCTGCATTAACCAGTGAAATGATAAAGAAAGAAAGAATGCATTATTGTGAAAAGAAAAACACCACCGGGGTAAACAAAATTACATGGAAGGCATAAGTAATCTTTTCATTGACATCAAGGATCTCCTTCCACTTCCTCCCAATGCTCATCTGAATTGCGAAGACCAAATTAATATTCAATCATAAGCTGCGTAAGGCATGTAACTGTAAAAGACTCGAGGCCTTAGAAAATTAACAATTCAATCAAGCAACAGCTAAATGATATGGAAAGCTCCAATCTGAAAACAAACCAATGAACTTGAAAAATCTATAATTTTAATGGACAAAATTGGAGAGCTCACAGTTCTCCAAATTTTGGTGCACTGAGCCAAATGTTGACATCAATATGAAAAAATGCTAGCAAGGATTATTTTAAGAATGACTACAGGACAGGTATAAAAGGCATCTTTGAGGGTTGCCAAGAAACGATGAAGGGGTAAGATACTGCCTCCAACCGTACACGAAGCATCAAACCTCATACTTCATCTTATCCATACAGTAGTAGACTTGTACAGCTTCAAAAAAACATTGTTAACCAACAAGGTTATCATATATGCCTAAATGAGGTCTTATGCACAAAAAATATAACTGAATTCAATCTTTGCTCAAATATTGAAATGTAATAGGCCCATAAAAATTAAATGCTAACATTATTTCTGCGATTAACCCATATATGATATTGGTCTTATGGCTGCATCATCCATCCAGATTTCACTTCTTTTCTATGATCGTGGTCTCCTTATTAGTGATTTTGCACTGCCTTCAGCAGAATGCTGCTTGGAAAGTCTTCTCATCCCAACACCCACACACATATCCAATTCCCTTTTAGTTTACCAAAATCATCTCTCTCTCCACTCTCCCACGTGGAGTTATTTTTCTTTTCAGCTCATGTCTTCTGTTGTCAACCTTCATGGTATTCTACCAGAGATGTAAACAGCACAAACACTTCTGTTGGACCTCCTTCAACCAGGGCGGGTAACTAGAAGAAAAGATTAAAATTTCGCATGGCAGAACAATTAAAGGTGGTAAGATGTTCGTTGATACCTCAGCAGACAACCAAGAATTATCTGATTCAACTTGCCCTATATATCAATACGGGTGGCAACAAAATGCACAAAAGGTTGCAATACCCCAGAATAATTTGTCAAACTTCTGTTTCATTCGGCAATCATGTCTCTAGTTCTGTTTGTATCTTTGGATATAACAAGGTGATCTTTAGTAGGTTTAAATGGTCATGTGCTGCCTCGTTAAGCAAGTCACATGATAGTTGAGTAACTTTAAGCAAAGGGTATTTTGGTCTTTTTCTTCACTGGGGGAAGCACTATGCTTATTTTGCAGCAGAATCTAAAGTAGCTTCAGATCTCCTTATCCCTTGGCAGTCGACATATGATCTTGTTCTGTCTAATCATTCCCTGTGACATTATTTTGCTGCTTATTTATGGCCTAATTTTTGATTTCTTGGGGTAAATTTCAACACCAGCTTTGAAGGATTTTCTGATCCTCATCTTTGCTGTATCAAAGTAGTATTTGGAACCAACCAGTGAGCTTTACCATCATAGAGAGAGTTGTCATGGACAAGAAACGACTGAAATCAAGTGCAGCTGATAGAGATCTCGACAAACCAAAATTGATTGAAGATTAACCGTGGGAGCAACAGGCCAGCAACACGAATGAGTGGAGGCCCATTTGGAAATTTCAAAATGCAAATATGTATTTTTGGACACACTGTAGTATTGAGCATGACAACACCAAAGAAAGTGAAAATCCTTTACATGACCCAGTCCATGATGGTAATATGGAACAGAAGATGGGTTAGTTCATACACTTAATTTAAAAGAAGAGGATAAAGATTGAAATTGTTGACTTCTTTGGAAAGATGCATGCTATAGCCTACCTCGATTGATTGGAGACAAGGATCTCAAAGTAATCCGGAAGTGGAAGAATAACATGAGAAGGTCTTCTCATAAGAGACGAGTTTGGCAACACAAAGAGCATGAAAGTGGAGTAGAGTAACTAAATGAAACAAAAATGCTATGCTTATGAATTATTATCTTGACCTGATCTGTTATTTTATTTCCCACAATCATGACTCAAGTCTGTAGTTTGCTTAAATTTCAAATTACATTTATTTATCTTATGGTTTCGTAGAATGAGCCACTTATGTGTAAAGGCATTTTGTTCTTTTTTGTTAGCATGAGAATTTATGGTGCTTAGGAACAGCTCTAAGGGCTGACTGCTGTAACTTATATTTCTCATATTACTACTGAATCGGAAAGTATCACCCAAGGTTTTTAATTCCTTGAATCATATAAATCTTTTTCCTTTGAATGATTCTCTCTTTGATATTATGTGCTTCTTATTTACTGCTGGATTTCATTTTGGGGTGTAAATTGCACCAGCAACTTTGTAGGATTTTCTCATATTCATTTTACCATCAAAAGCTAAGAAATAATTACCTGAATAACAATAAAATGACAAATAAATACCTGTGCTGCTTCATTTGCTGCATTTTTAGTCCACAACGAAAGTTTGTCTTGCCTGCGGACACTGGCAACCACTCCACAGATCTCCTCAGCCTCATCAAATTGTTCCCCTATTAGAGCCATCAACTAAGGAACACAAATTTATCAGTCAAATATGAAAAGATGAACTTGTTCAATTGGTTAAAAAAAATCAAGGTTTTTATCTAGAATCATGCTACAGATGCCTTGACATAATCTTTGACATAATACCACATGACGTTCTATCATTCTATCATTTGACGGTTCTTAACACAGTCAGTTTTCCATCAAATTATCTGTTGTCATCTCGAATTATGTCACTACATGTGTTAAACCCTTGTTTGGCCCCTATTATTTGTGTTATAATTTTTGGAATAATATTTTTTTAAGAATGTATAGTTAAAAAAGAAAAAAATGTTTTAGATTTATGTATAATATTATTTTATAGGGGGAATGTGTGGTTGATAAGAAGAGGGAGAAAAATGGAATATAATTTTAATGGGAGCCAAACGGAGCTAAATTTCTTCAGGCAAAGTGGCAAAATCCTTTTATCTATCAACCCATCAAAAAAAAATGCTAAACAGTAAACAACGGTGCTAAGAAAGAAGAATTTATATTTACAGTTTCAAGCCACGTGTTCTCAAGATTAGCCTTCGTGTTGCTATTAACAGTCCATTTGCCTCCGTTAGCACACTCAGGATCTTCCCATTTGGGCTCCATTCCAGCTTTGAACAAGATAAATTCAGCATTTGTTGTCAACTTGCTTGGTTTAAATATCTGATCATATAAACTGCAGGAAAATTCACCATTTCAAAACATAATAAAACCAGCTTCATACCTTCTAAGGAAGTTCAACATACTTCTACACTAGGAGTTCTGTACAGCACACACGATTTATCATTTTTAGTAAATTTGAACACCTAATAAATATCAAAGATAATATCTAATTCATAAAGTGCAAAACAGCTCTATTGCGGAGGATATTTACCCTGCAATAACAATGTCTTGGATTTCATGTTTAATCATCACAACTAATGATCTCACACACCTCTTTTTCTTTTCTCCTTTTCCTATTCTCTAATGCTATTTAAAATCATTTAAACCCTGTTGAATACCAAAAGAAGCGAGTAGAATCAGTCCACTTACCCATTTAGTTTCACTTATTCAGGAAAAGATCAAGTTTGTGCAGGTTGACTTGACGAGGCAGAAGACTATGCTAAACACTTATTAAAAAGTGAATTTAAGGTGCATGTATTCAAATGAAAAGATTTTGGTACCATTTCTAGCCTTTCCTAAAGTCCAATTTAAGATGTAGGATCTATATGGATTTTAGAGCTAAAAGTAGAATTTTGATTGGAAAATTGACTTAAGTTGATGGATATATTTCTAATCCCATTAAAAAGTTCTAATTCCATGTAAAATAAAAATATGGACAGTCTTTTCACTAATTTAAAATCGGATTAGTCATATCGAAGTTCACAAAATGAGGCTATCTCGAGAAGAAAACAAAAATACATGTTTGGTCAAGCACAAAAACACAAAAAGGAGAACACATTTGATGTTATAACAGATTTAGAGCACATGATACTTTCATAAAATAATAAATAAAAATCAAAAGCGTATTTCGAACATATAAATAAATTCCACCAGATTATACTAAATTTCAAATTTGAATTGAGTACAGTTCAATAAATTTATTTGATAAAGTAGACAACAAACACATATTACAACTAGAAAGATAATGCTCTGAAGCAAACATCATTAACTGGGTCAGATGCAAGGGATACAAGATGACACAAAAAGCAAAATCGGGCAAACATGTAAAGATGAAATAAAAACCACAAGCATTAGCAATAGGATGAAAATCCTCAATTTATATTAGTGACTTCATAAAGGTGTCACAGACTCTAGAATGAGCTTCTAGCCCTTACAAGACTCACCTTCAAGAAAACTACATAAAATAAGTAAATAACAAAGTATTACATAGAAAAATCCTATTTTTATGTAGTTCTAGACAAAGCCTAGAAACCAACACTTAATTTTATGTAGTTCTCCAATAGCAATATTGTACAGAGCTTTCACAGCTTCAAGGTTAAGTCCAACTCGTTGGGGTTAACATTGTCACCACCCCTGTTGACATGATCAACCATTATCCTATTGTCAATAGGTTGTACATAATTTTGAACGTGTGACCCAGTACAGTAAGTGAAACGTTTTGCCTTGTTGTTTGAGAGGTTTGGTCCTCAGGTCAAGTCCCAGACTCCTTGGACCTAGTAAAAATTGTGAAGCAATTGTGCTCGCTCTTATGGGTGAACAGAAGTTAGAAATTTGGGTAGGCTGCGATGCAGATACACACGCGCTTAAACGAGTTTGGAAGTTTGATTGCTGGGCAGGATGGGCAGAAAACAAACTCAGGCTTACAGGAAAAAGTGAAAGAAGTGGACCAGAAGGCTGTGAGGTAAACCTTGAATGGAAATTTGGGGTTTTGGGTGGATTGTGACATAGTGAACAAGAATTTGTAGGAGAACAGAAGTTTGATGGCGGGGTAGTCTGGGAAACAGACATACCAAGCCTTACAGTAGAAAGGACGTGAGCAGCCTGGAAGGTTGTGGGGCAACACTTGATCGTGAAGAATTTGAACAGAAGTTCGTATCATTTTGAAATGACATGAGATTTCTCTCAGATTGCCGCTGCCGTGAAGTGCCGTTTTCTGGCACGAGACAGATATTGACGCATAAGGCTTGTGCTATCAAAGAAAATCTGATCGCACATAGAACATGGAATTAGAATTTCATGACTGTCTTTCCATTAGATTTTCAATTATTGAATACTTCTGTAGCAATAGTTTAACTTGCTTGACACGGCTAAATTAATACAAAAGATCAGCGGAAACTGAAGACTTGTTGCAGAAAGGAGAGCACTTTACAGGTTAGGCGAGTGCAATGGAAAAAATCAAACCGAATATAAGGAACTAAGAACAATGGCCACAGAACAATGCATAACAGGATACAGGAAGAAGAAGGTTTGCACTTCTCACAAAGGGAGTGCAATTTTATACACACCCAACTATGACTACACGACAAACAAGCATTGAATGTGCAGCTATTTTTCCAGTCAAACATCAAATCTCATTATTATTATGAACAGATAGATTATTGCAAGTTCTTTTGTCTTAATCGCGAAACAGTATCATTGAAAAATTTCAAGCATGCATCGTCCATCATGATTTAACCATACCAACAAATAATCTTCCTCGGAACATGTTAGGACTTCTGTAAGTTCAACAACCTAAAAAATCAACCGTGTCTAAAATCTTCTATCTAAATATTAATCTCAAATCATTTCATATTTTATGGGAACATGTTAGGACTTCTATAAGTTCAACCACCTAAAAATCAACCATGTCTAAAATCTTCTATATAAATGTTAATATCAAATCATTTCAATATTAAAAATTTGAATATGCATTTAAAAAAGTTAAGAAGTTAAAGCTCCAAATCCTACAATAATGTTATTAATTATTATATCAGCTGTTGTAAGAAATAAGGGGTCCAGGGCCATTTCTACTCTTGACATAATTTTAAATATAAGCGTTTAAAAGCATGGTGATAGATGTCATAACAGATGTAATCATTGCAAAAGACAATGGTAATTGCACAAATTATTGTACCCGCTAGTATGGTTAGAGAAATTTAGAGATCACATAATTATTTCCATACTTATAGCTAGATATGGAAAAATTAATATCATTTACTAGTGTAGGTACATAGATGTTTAAATAGGAGACATTTTGCCTATGTAAGGCAAGGCATAATCGCCCCCCAAGGAGCTTTGAGGTGTAAGCCTAATTCAAAAGAATTTAGAGTACAAAAATATGTTCATAATAAATTACTCACTCTCTTTAAAAATCCATAAATCAAGGAATAAAATTAAAAGTTTAGCATGCAAACATGCATAAAATAAATCAATAAAATAAACTAAAATAAAATAAAAATAGCCCAAAAAGCTAAGACTAGTAATAGAAT